ACCTGCCCTCTTCAGTGATGGTTCAGGAGTGGTGTGGTGTTAGTCACTTGGAGTGTTATTCACAGGGAGCTGGGCCAAGGCCAACAACTCAATTCACGTTATTGGCTGAGCAAGAAAAATGCCACTGGTGCTGACCTTGTCATAAATCCCCAGCCCCTGTCCCCATGCCACCAGCTCTCCAGACCAGCCTTTTAAAGACTGATTGTATCTGCGTTCTGGTTGCCAAAATTGTTTGGGATTTTTGTTATTTCAACTCTGTGGTCTCAGAGGAGCAAATTCCTCAATAATTTTGCTTTCTCATCAGCCAAAGGCGCCACTCTGTGCCATGTGCCAGCAAGGCTGGAGAACAAGGCTGTCTTTAAACGAAAAAGCCTTGCCTTTTCCTCCTCGCATTCGTACAAGTTAAACATGACTTCTTACTTCTGTCATTCATCCTATTAAGAAAACCCCAGACTGCCAAGTGTAACCTCATTTGCCAGTTTCCAGGGGAAGGCAAGCATTTATACCTGAATCATAAACCCTGAAGGAAGGGCCTTATCTGATGTGGTTCACCAGGCTTAATGGACTGGTCTATGCAGCTGCATCACCTTGGGTAAGAACTTCAACAGAGCCTCTTAAAAATAGCCTGCTTGATGTTACACGCATTGTGCCCAAGGACACAGGTGTTTATATTTACAGACTTTGTACTTGACTGCTTTAAGTGGTTCTCTGGTGGTAGGATCTAATTGAGAAATATTCTAAACTGGGTTTGATTCAGTTCGAAATTCCAGCTCTGCAGCAAGATTTTGGATCAAATGTGGTTTGACCAGTTATCATCCTCTCTCGGCCTCACTCGTAGGATGGAGATGCATTAATGTTGTGATTATTGCATTAATGCATTAGTGCTGATGATGTAAGACTGAAGGAAGACTTTCTTTCCTTGTAGCCATTACCGCTGAACCAGTTGTTCTGATGATTTACCCAGAAAGCCCTAACTGTCCTTATAAATGTAAAATTTCTTTTTTTTTTTTTTCTATTCTTGAGCAGATGGAAGACTTAGATGGAAAGGGATAAAAACATAATTTGCCAAAGCCCTCAATTAATCATAATCAAGTTTGTGCATGTTATACTCTACAAGGGTAACAACAATGAAACACAAGGAGAAAAGGATGCTTTCCTCAGGCAATTCTGGAGACATAAGAGCAATAAAGAAGCATACTTCAGAATAATGTGGAGATATATGACTGCACTAAATAAAAAATGCTTCTTTAACGTACTGTAAAAATAAAGATGTTTAGTTAGATTTATCATTCATGTTACAAGCACAAATTGATCCCCTGGACTACACCATTGGCTCTGAAAGTATCTAAGGGATGGTTGCGACCCACTCTTTTCTGTAATTACTTAAACATTGTCTCATTTGTTAAAGAGACAACTAGATTATTCCTTTTTACTCTGAGGTAATAAATATGGGGCACCTTGATCACACAGATACAGATTTTTGACTTTTATACCATATTTAAGCCATCTTTTAATTGGGTATAGTGAGAGGGGTGGCTTGCTTATTAGTTTCCACGAGTCACAGCCAAGCCTGTGAAAAGGCATTTTTTTTAAACTAGTTTTACAAATAGCAACATGTTAATTGAAAGCAACCCCACTCCCCCAATCCGCTCTTGATTGACTTGAGAACATTCGAAACCAGCGAGATTCATTTCTGCAGCCTCATTCAACCCTTGCAATGAGCAAATGAAACAATTGTTTTATTTGTAAGAGGAGATTATCCCTTGAAGGCAGATAGGAGGATACTGCCTACAGAACCCCATTTGCAGGCACAAAGAGCGCTTAGTCAAGTTTTGGCAGTGATACTGAAGCTATTAGTTTTGGATATGAGTTCACTGATGTTCAGTGCTGTAGATTTCCAGTTAGTTCATGAAGGGCCTTTAAAATTACACACAGAGCTTCATTAATTGCCTCAGAAAAGAAGCAACAAATATCAGGCCCTTAAAGTGCGTGTGCACAGAATGGCCATTGATTGCAATGAATATTCCCCACTGGAGAACTGATCCTACGTCCTGGGAAGGCAATCACAGTTTTTACAGTGGTTGCATCAGTCACTGCCCCAAAGTGCAAGGAGGATCAGGCCCTAGTAGCTGCTATCTGCTATCTATCTACCTATCTATCTATTTATCTAATTTATCTGCATATGTGGTTTATATACACATCCACACACGTGCATATATATAATCCTGATTCATTGTGTTAAAAGTGTAACAGTGATTGTTTTAACTCAAGTTGGAGACTTGAGACAAGATACCAAACTCGGTGTCTTTCAAAAGAAAGGAATAGAAATCCAGCTTTGTGGTGTTGAAGGGTTTTTTTGTGTCCGTTATTCCATTTGATAGAGAAGTGCCTGAACATTTGTTCTGCAACCAGCTGTCCATAAAGGAGAATTTCCTATGCCTGCCTTGCAAATGGCACAACCTCATGTGATCCCTGATCACAACAAATTGATTTATTTAAATAAAAATAATGATCTTCTTTGCTTTCTCCAGCCCCAGCAGCAAAATCCCATGTAACCCTGATCAGCAAATTGATAGTTATCTTCTTTTGCCCTCCTTTCTCAAACCCAAACAATACCACCCTGATCCCCAAGTAATAAGAAAATGATTTATGCAAACAAAAATAATTATCTTTCTTTGCTCTCCACCCTCTGACTGTATAATCTCAGCAGCTCCTTGTTTAACAAATTGATTTATTTAAATTAAACAAATGGTGATCTCCTTTTGACCTCTGTGGAGCACTTCTGTGGCAAACTCCTACCACTGCTACCACCTTACCCATATACTTAGAAGGATGTATTTTAAAATATAGCAGCACTTTAAACTAACCTTGATACTTTGTGATTCCTTTAATCAAAACTCATGGAAGCTCTGCTTCCGTGCAATGAAATTAGGATGTGTGTCATCTGAAAAATAAGAAAAGTAACTTCCTCCATACTTTTTATGGCAGAGATGGTTATTAATTGAATTTCCCAGGTGAAACTGTACAAAAGGTGGCTCTGTGAGGTTTGTCTACACCCACCTCGTCCTCAAGGTTCTTTGCAGACAGACTTTAAAGCACTGACAAACTCAGTGCACAAATATGTGTGGGGCCACCTCCCCTAAAACACTGACAGAGCCATCTAGTGCCAGCCTGCTCCGTGACAGACACCAGCACCAGCTGATGGGTGAAAACAGGAGCTCCAGGGGTTTCATCCATTATGTTTTATGGTTCTGTCCAACCACAGTTTGTGTTGTAGGACTCAGCCTCTCACTGGCAAAACTTCCACAGGCACGAGGAGAGGCAGAGTCCTGCTTGTCAATGGTTCCAGTGACATGATCTTTTTGTTCCACATTCAGCAGTCCCAAAGGTATATAAATACATATAGATGTATATGTATCTGTGCATTTTTTACTGTGCTGGTTTAAGTTTGCATTTTCTGTGCTGTCCAGCCAGTATCTCTGTTTTGTGCAGCTGGTGTTTAAACAGTCATTTTGGCATTATACAGAATTACATAATTATATGTGCCACAAGCAAAAGTGCAAATAGTCCCACTTAACACCTAATCATGTGATATCTGTTGTGAAATGCTGTCGAAGTAGCCAATAGATGTGACTGTTACTTTACTGTTAGCTCTGGTTCTTTGGAGGCGAGTACGGACTGCAGCTGGAATTTGGCACAGATGGAAGAGGGATTAAGTGATAGTGGGAGCCTGAGTGTATTGTATATAGAAACATTCTTTCCTCGACCTGTTTCTGTGGTGTGTAATACTCTGAGCAGGACATTGGTGTTAACCAGTCTCCCAGATTTGGAAATACTTTGCTTTTTTAGCAGTTTGTTCACACCATGTGTCTGCTTTGGTTTCAGACCCACGGTGCTCTCTGACAGAAGGCAGTGACATGACAGGAATGGTGACACAAGGCTCTTACTGTTACATTCAATAATTGATTCTTCTGGATGGATTGTGACTCCCTAAAGGTTGCAAAGAGAGGTAAGAATGATTGGACAGCTTCAAAAACATTGGTTTCTTCCAAAGTCAGGAAGTTTTCACTCCCTTGAATCCTTCCCCTTCACGGTCCAGCACTCTTTGTGACTCTTTGGAAATACACAGGAAAATCATTAAGAGAGATTGTTTTTATCAACCAATAATTTTCTTCTTTCTTTTCCCAGTAATTTTAAGTGAGTTTTGTAATGTTGAACGCTGAATTGGGAATCACCATGTGAAAAATGTGTTTGTGTCCATTTTTATGGTTGCCACAAACTCTCCATAAGAAATCCGGATAAAAGGGAAAACATTGCAAAAACTGGTCAAGAAATTACAAAGTAAAAATATGGACACCCCTGAAGTTTTTCAAATCCCACTTTTTTTTTAATTTTAAATGTATTTTTTATTCTTCCAAATGCCGAGTAAGTGAGGTTTTTGCATCTGAATACTTTTGGAGATATAGTCTCAAAATATACTTGGATATTTGTTTCATAATATTCAATTTCATAATTCAGTCCTTCCCTTGCATTTGCATTACCTTTATTCCTGACTTGCACAAGTAAAATGAGGTGAGACTCAGACTAGAAGATTATGCAAAAATGTTCCTATAAAAAAAATAATAACCTTGTTCTGAAATTATACCTGGAAGATTAGAGCTGCAGCCTTTTAAAAAATTCAGCCACTCTGTATTGACTTGCCAAGAGAGGCAAGTATTTCTGCAGATGGCTTGGAATTAGTAGAACATGAAATAATGTCAATGGTACTGGTAAGAGGATTAACCAGCAGTTCTGATGTTATTGAACGGTTTGCAGAGACCATATTAAACAGCCACATCAGTCCACAGGTCAGCCCTGCAGTTCTTCTGCTAAGCAAACACAGATGTAGAGTTCCCTTTTTCATGGCCATCATTTCATGCCTTTGACATATGTTAGGCTCTTGGGACTCAGTGGCATATTTACAGCCTGGACATTAAAGATTCCTTTTTTTTTCCGATGATTAGTGGACACCGACATCTAAATCAGTAGTAAAAAGAAAAGCAGGAACCCAGGACAGTGGGGAAGGACTCCAGCAATGCAAACATGTAAGTGAAAGATTAGGCTGCTAGAAAGTTCCCTGACGAAACACCGGGGGCTTTTTCAGTTGATGACAAAAATTCTCCTTAAGAATCCAGTCAGTTTTAAATCTCTTTTTCTTTTGGGTTGATCTTCTCTTTATTTGGCCAAAGCTGCCTATGAAGTTGCAGTGGTTGAATTTCACAAGGCGAGAGGAGTTCAGCTCATGTCAGCACTGCCAGGCCTCTGTGCTTGTTCAAAGTTTGTGCAGATCTCCCGGGGCTACAAATTGGCCAGAAGAAATTGAGGGAACAGTCTGTCTTACAATATTCCCGTTCCTTTTCTCTTCCAACAGAAACTTTGGCAGTTCTTTAACATTTTCCTCAGCTTTTTGTTTATCTGAAACTGGGAGTCAGAAATTAAGAAAATGAATAACACAACTATGTGATGAACAGGTTTTTTTTAATGCACACAAAATACATACTTACCTGTGTGTAGCGAGGACATGGTGGGACAGGTTCTTCTTTTATCTGGATGGTGTCTCAATCCTGAAAAGTAGTGCAGTTTCCAAATAAAGATATAGGTACAGACAAGCTGTATGTCAAGGCAGAGCTCCTGAATGTAAAGGTTGTTGACAAAGAATTCGTTTGGAAAGAAGAAGATAAACCAACTGATAAATTACAGAGCCTTTGGTCAGTAATTGTTTAATATGATGCAAATTTTAAGTGAAATTTCCAGCGTACAACTGCTCCACGTGTAGCCACTTCTTCCTGTGAGAGGAAATAAATATGCAACCGGAGAGTGTAACAATGAATTACATTCAACCTCAGAAGTGCTTTAGCATGTCTTCAAGAGCTGCTGCTGTCTTCAGTGATGGATTATAAGTTAGCATGAGATCCCACAGGCATGGCAAGGTATTTATGTAGTGATCTGATTGCTCAGACACCTCCAACAAATGTACAGTCAGTGCGAACAGAAATCAGAGTATCACTATCTCCCACTTTATTTCATTTGTTTATATTTAGCAAGTGCTGGAATATTACAAACCACTGAGCACAACTATAGTTGGAATATAGTTTCCAAAGCTTATTTACAGTAGCTTTCAATCACAGTGAGTGATGGTATATTAATCCATAAGTAGTTCCATTGATTTTGGGGGGTCCATTCCTTGTACAGCTGAGTATATCTCGATTTGGTCCCATGTTTGAAATGTAGAAAGAGCTCATTTCCTGCCATGTTCTTAAGTGCATGAACAGTTTGAAAAAAGCCCTACGCTGAGCTCTCCCCAAAAAGCTCATAATAGTGCAAAATACTGACAAGGCTGGTGGGATGCAGGTTTTGCAATATTTTATTGTGTTGCAGAAACGGCGATAAAATGTTCCTCAGTTATACAGAGATGGATGTGCGTTCCATGTGCTGTTTTCAGCTGTGTACTTACACCACTCCAAAATCCCAAGGAGAAAAGGAAAAGCTGAGATTCACATCAGTAGCAAAGAACATCAGGTGATGTTGATTTAAAGAAAACATTAATCAATCCAGATTTGCTTGGAACCGGGCCCAGGTTCACTCAACAGGTTGGTGAACCTTAGCAAATGTTTCTGTGAATCTGTTCTGTGTTTTGACTTTGTAACGTGATCTGAAATCATCTGAGTTTCATGTGGTTTTGTTGTGCATGTTTTGGAACGCTCCTGAGGTGAATCCAGGGAAAGACAGGGGTGCTAAATTTTGCATGACGCATAAGGTAAGCGGTGTTTCACTCTTCCTGACACCCCCTGATACCAAAGTGAACAACAGTTGATACTGTCAGCAGAGTTTTGAAAGAGGAGACAATCACTGTCTGTCAGGCTTCTTGTGTCTCCAGCAGTCTTTATTGTGGAGCCAAGAGACAGTCTTCAAATCATACCCTGAAAAACGTTATCATGAGGTTTGGACTGTTATTTTCTTTTTTTCTGTTTCTGGTAAATGTCAGAAGTTTTACTGTGTAGGCAGGTACTGGAGTTGTGAACAGTGTGTTAGGCTTCTTGATGTATGTTGGTTTGAAGAAGTTATACAGTGCTAGAAAAAATTAGGTTTTTATACTGAGTCCGCGGATGAACAACTTGTGTTTTAACTTCATTCGGTTTGGATGTGAATTCATAAATAGGTGTACTCAGCCTCAGTATAGCTGAATATAAAGTATTTAAGATCCATCTACACCAATCAGGTAAAAAATATGATGAGGTGACAGTTTCTATTAATTTTATTTTTAGTCCAAACTAGAGCCCAGAGCAATAGAGATGTGAGACACTCTGCACAAGAAACAAAATCTAATTCATCAGAGGATGCCAAATTTTTCATTCTGTTTCAGAAAGAGCAACAGAATTTTGCTGGAGTTGGGATTTTGGAGAGAAAGGCGGGTGGGAGGAGCTGTTTATTTTTTTTTACACTGATTTACTGCCTCATAATTGAGCCCCATTTGTGGATCAGTGTTATGACAGGGAGCTTAGAGAAAAGGAGGTCAGTGAGTTTAGCTTAGTGGCCTGGCATATATACAAGGTCAGACTAGATAATTTAACTGTCACTTCTGGCCTTAAACTTGAGGAAACTGAAGACGGAAAAATCAAAGTCTGCAGAGGTAATAAGTAAGAAAAAAAAAATGTAACAGGCTGGAGTGTCCTTTAATGCCCCCGAGGTTCAGCATTCCCTAACCCACCAGGTGCACTGGGGGACAGCCACAAGTAGAGTGGCTCTGTTGGTCCATTTGGAAGCACAGCAGGAAGGAAGAACAGTTTGCCCAAAATATTCATCTTGAAGCTGATATCTTCATTCCCCTCTAGAATAGTTGTGTTTGCACCCCCTTGTACTGTTGCATTTTTCCACTAAGGTTGTCTCACTTATTTAACTCGACATACAGAGCACCCCTCCGAGGTCTTTGAGACCCAAACCAGCATTGGAAGCGACAGCCCAGATAACACAGGTAATCATATCAGACCTTGTGGGACTGCACTGACTACTTTTTAATTGATAATTCCAAGTTTCTGCAATAAATTTATTTCTTAATTGCATACATCATGTCATACATGGTAGCTAATGTTTACCACTAGTTAAAGTTTGCAGCCTTCAAGACATCCTCCTCCCTTCCATATAACCGTAATTTTCCTTCCAAATTAAGATCTTCTCAGAAAGAAAATGAACAAAACCTGCACGTTAAATCCAATTCCGTCCAAATAAAAGAAGGTAAATTTAAGGTACTAAATTAAGTAAGTGATTTTAATTAGCGGATCATTTCAGGAAGATCATAAAACATTTAAATAACACTGAAGTTATGTATATTTAAGCAGTTTTATGGAGAATTAAAGTCTTAAATGGTAAATTTCAAATGTAAATACGAAAGTCGATGGAGGAATGTTAATTGCTTTTCCTAAGTTTCTCACATGGCCTAGATGTTAGGAGAGGTATCAAGAATTACATTCACAGTAATAATGTGCCCAATCCAAAGCTTATTAAAGGCCTTGGAATTTTTCCACGGATTTTAGAAGCCATTGTACAAAAGCAAGAAATGCTTTTAAATGTGTAACCCCCAGTACTGTGGAAGTCACTTACATGCCAAAAATCATATATGTGATGTCAATCGTCTAAAATATTGGTTAATTTGTAGTTTAAGATTCCTGTTCATAGCCAAGAAATTTAAACTGACCTTAAGAACTTATCCAGTTACCCTTTTGAACAAATAAAATTACGTTTGCAGCAACAGACATTTTACACCAACAGATTAGTTTACATAAAAGGAAAACTTACACACCAGGAGAAGCTGCTACGATTGGACAACAAAACGTGCCAACAAATTGGAACACCAAGAATGTGAATTCTCACATGCCTGTCCGTAGCTCAGCGGTACTGTTACATTATTTTTGATTCACCTAGATCAAATTAAAACTTAATTTTTACAGTTTGATAATAATGAAATGCGTAATGTTTGAAACTAATGAAATTCAAATCAGGGGTAGTAAGGCTGAAAAGTCACGATGTGTACATTTGTCCAAATTCCCTATTGTAAACCACTTGGAAATGAATATCCCATTGGAAGAGGGAGCACAGAAAGTGTGAGTGAAACCTCAGCAGAAGGTTTCCTTGATTCCCTTAAACCATTTGGTCTTCTGGGAGAGCCTGGAAGAACTATGGCCACATCTCTTCCCATATTGGTGTCAGGATGCAGATGGAAGTGGTAGAATTCCATGCAATAATTTTACTCCACGTAGACGTAGGAATCACGTTGCAAGGACAGCTGTTCCACCAAAAAAAGTGGGAGTGCCACCATCAGAGTCTGCTTGTGACTAAATTGTTGTAACTGTATGTGCAAAGAACAGATTCTTTAAGGGACTGATAGTTCCCAGTGCCCAAAAAATCAAGAAACAATTTTTTTCTCTTCAAGATTCACCCCAAATTGCTGGAATGGCTTATTTCAGAATTATGTAGTACCTTAGGGGGGAGTGTGATGTTTGTTTTCATTTGGTTTGTAGCGAGACAAGTCCCATTGCTTTTCGCAGTGAAATCTGTGCTGATACAGAGGGATGTGCTGCTCCAGCGGTGCCTCCTCTCCCGTGTTTCAGTGTCTGCAGAACCTCCGTGAGCATTTCTGGGAGAGGGACATGCATGTGTGCTGATAGTTCAGCCTCATGGAGAAGCCACCCTGCCAGTCTACATGACAGAAGGGCTGAAGGCAGCATAAACCTGCTCTTTTTTTTCTCTTCAAAGCGTTTTTAACACCCACCTTACACACAGTCCGAGGCCCGCGATCCAGGACGTGGCTGTGCCTCTGTTTCTTCAGCTGTCGGATGGGGATATTATTATGCTCTTGTCTCAGATGCTGAGAGGGTTAATTAATTATGTTTATGAAACCCTTTGAGATTCTCAGATGAAAGGTGGCTTTGGAATTGTTAGGTGTTATTATAAGAAAAAAGAATGATTTTATTGCTTCATGTTAATGGTTAACATCTGCACCACAAAACCTGCTTGATCACATAAAGATTCTGCTAAGCATTTAATCCTAATTTGCAGGCTGATGCATATTCATTTTATTTAGAAGATTAATTTAGTCATCAAAGGTTAATCTGCCTCGGGTTTGTAATTAGACAGAGCAGTGACTTGGCGTCTCTGGGCTCACCCAGGTTGCACTGGGTTTTCTGACTGGGCAGGGCTTTAACTGTCACCAGTTTTCACTTCCAGCTAGTGCTTGGAGAAGGCTTAATTTCTGGAGAAATGGTGAGTGGTAAAAGCTTTGGCCAGTTCGAAGATTAAAAGTAAAAGGAGAAGCATGAGCCAATGAACAGTCAGCGTAGTGAATCTCAGAATGCTGCTTTAATTCATCCCTGGCAATGTCAGGGCAATAAGCAAGGGTTTTTTTTTTTTTAATACGTATTTGTAAAAATGATTAAACAGATTTCACAATCTTTGATGTATGAATCCTGCCCCTCTTTCAAAATTACTGATTAGCAGTTTACAGAAAGTGTCTGAAATGAAGAACTATGAGGCTTTCTGCTGAAAATACCAGATTTTAGCTTTTAGCTGCTATTAGGTACTGTTAGAAGGTTGTACAATATGACCTGTAGTTGCTTATACCCCTGGAAATTAAGCCTTTAGTGCTCAATGTCGGATCCTTTAATCAGAAGTCACTAAAGAAAGTGTGGTCCTTGTGGAGAACAAAAATCATGTTTTCTATGCAGGTACACCAGAAGGCATCTTTAATTACTGTTTATAAAGCTGGCTGTTAGTAAGTGTGAGGGATTATTAATGCCGTGGTATTGTCTTTTGAAGTGAGGAAGAACAGTGGCTGCTTCTCTGTCATGTCCTCATCTTTTCCCTGTTGCAAAGCAGTCAGGAGGGTGATATCAGAGGGCGTGTGCTGCACAGTGCTGTGCTTCAGCACCCTGTTAGGCAGTGAGGTGGCCTTCAGACACAAATTGGGTGATGGGAGTCCAGGGTGGCATGGGACGTGCTCACCCTCCCTGTCAGTGGGGATGGGGTTGTCAAAGGGCAGCTGTGTGACTCGGGGATCCAGCTCAAACTGGCTCGGGTGGGGGAAGTTCGCTGCGGGACGTAGGGCTGGGAAATGGCAGATGAAAACCTTGCAAATGGAAAATTTGTCTTAAAAATAGTGGCTTGCCCAATGTGAAATCAATATGGGCTGCAAAATAAGTACTGTAAATGAAAATCATGATACTAGAATTTAGGAATTTGGCCAAAGTTTTACATTTCGTTGCAGCTTGGCTTTGGTTTAGTTCAGAATCCAGATTCTGGGGAGGGGGGGGATGTTGCTTTTTTTTCCCCAGTACAGTTCTCACATCTCTGTTTTGATTTGCCAGTTTTCCCCTCCTCTTTCTGGTGCAGAACCTCAGAAGCATCCAAGAAGGGATTTTGGAGACCATAAACAGTTCTAATTGAGAACAGCCGCAAATCAAGTTAAGTGCCAGCCTGACTATCAGAATATAAATGAAACTCTTTATTAAAACATTGTATTTTAATTATTGTGAAGAACAAGTGACCTAACGTGAAAAAGCTTTTAACATAGCAGTTATTTGCTTGATAGCTGATAACTTAATTTTGGAGGGATGATTACAGGTATGGCTTTTTGTCTTCTTCACTTTCATTTTTACTTGATCTAATGACTGTTCACTGATTTTCATTTGGACTTGAGGTCAACTTCTAATTCAGTTGCTAATAAACTCAGATTGGTTGGGGCCTGTTATTGAAATCAGGTTTTCTATTTCCAATTTAAAAGACCAGGGAAGTTTTGTTGGTGTTTTGAAAGAAGTGTAGAGTGTTTTGGACTGATGATTTGCAAACACAGGAGCTCTTTGCAGAGTTACCCTTCGCTAGTCAACTGTAAGCACTTGTCAATTTGTTCTCTGCCATGAAGATAACCTGGCATGCAATGAGAGCATGGGAGGGCAATTCACTACAACTGAGGGGAAAAAAAACCCCAAACAGCAAGAATACATGTCACTCTAAGCAGATACCATAATTATAAAACAGTTACTGTTACATCATTCAAGCCCTTCCTTTCTAGCCAAGAGTCTGAGAGTGGAATAAAACACACACATTTGCCACAGATTTTAGGCTATTTATGCTGGTTTAGTCGTCTCCTCAACCTGCACATTTAGTGTCTTCACTTGCATCTTAATCCTGAGCTGATTTGTGTGAATGGTGGATAGGTACCACTAAAATGGGGATTGTGAGCTTCATCTGTCATCCCTGCTGCTCTACCACTGACTTCAGTGAGCTTCCAGAGGAATGAGTCGGGCCCACAAGAGGATGTGAACTGTCAAGAAGACAAACCTCTTTCTCATCTATTTGAAATGTTTGTGGGAAAGAATGCCCTAAATATTTAGCAGGTTTTGTAATTTGAGAGGCAATGCAGGTTTTGGGTTTTTTTTAATTTTAGTTTTCTCCCTACCTTTCCATTTTCTTTATTAAGTAGAGGAAAACCTTGCCTTAGGCCCAGTGTGCTTATGACAGGGAAAAAATATCTGCCAGAATCTCCATTATTGCTCGGGCCTGTATATATTGTTATTGCTCTTGTATTTGTAATAGCAAAAGGGGACTGTGCCTCTTATGAAAAATTCTGTTTGCAGAAAATACCTTCTTCCCCCCACCTTTTCCAAACCCAGCACGGTGCATAAAGAATCCAGGGGTGTTTATGTTGGTTGTGTTAATGCAGCAGAGCTCAAAGCAGCATATATGTAAGGACTGGACATGTGTGCCATAGCTGGGCATTGTGGTGATGTACCCGAGTGATGCAGCTCACGGAATCAGGAGGAAGCAGAGATGCTTAAAGCCAGTTTAACTTCCTCTCCCTTGCATGTTTGGGAGTCAATGAAGCTGCACAGAGAGCATCAGTGAAATCTGCTGCAGCCCACCCTGGTTTCTGGTGGACAGAAGACCCAAAGTGGAACTTAACCTCAGATGTCCCCAGTAAGGTCACCTGTTTCAGCACTTCCTAAAGGCAACCAAACTGATTGCTTGCATCAACCACCATCAAAGATCTTGCCCCTTCATATTTCAGCTGCAGGGAGCTGCAGTGAGTCAGGCTTGGGTGGAGGGGGGAGATCCTCCACCCAGATTGCCAGCTCAAGCTTGCCACTGCTTTATCGTGTGGTCTTAGGCAATGTGTTGAGTTTTGCTTCTGGAAGACCTCGGGGTTAAACTCTCAGAGTGAAAGCACAGCCCATCACCATTATGTGCAGTGGCTGACTGCTGCCTCTTCAGCCATGTACGTACTAGGACCCCATAGACACCCGTGTCTGCGTGTTAACGGAGCTGTTTTACATTTGATACACAAAAAGACATGGCACGATGCTCTTGAACAGTGCTGAGTATGGGAATATCCTCCCTGGGAGCGGGGCCATCCATGTGCGTGCGTAATTACAAGTTCCCAGTCTAAGTGTATATGTAAAAGTTCACGTTTATACACCATTGGATTTGCATAACACTGTCCACAAAATCAACGTTTTAGAGCTTTCAGAGCATTGTTACAGTCCTTCCCTTGTGCAGAATGATTCTGGAGCAGATTCTCATTGACCAGGATATCTAGGCAGTAGGTCCCTGGCAGTGCTGTCTTTCTCTGAAATAGGTGTGCCAGCTCCAAGACTGGTTGCTGGTACCTTCAAAGGGTGCAAAGTCGACACCTCATTTGGCTGCCAAGGCTTCTGTGCAACCGAGCGCTCCTCTTTCCCAGCAGAAGGGACTCTGCTTTCTGCCTTTGCTCTTGCCTAGGGGTGAGTTGTCTTTATCACGCTTACCCTGTGGGCACAGGAAGTGATATTATATAAGAAATAATTTTGCAACCCTATTTCTACTAATCATTGCCACTCCTACCATAATAACAGACAGATGCAACATACACGATTCATGTTTCCATTATTTTTCTGCTACGGTTTGCATGTGTTTTCCATTTAATTACAGTATATGAATTTCATATCTCTCATTTTTTTTCCCCTTCTTGGATTTAAAATTGAATTTGATATCTGTGATATATAGATAGGGCTGTGGTGAATAGTTTGATGCACTTTACACTGATAGATCTGAGTCTCTGCAAATCTCTTAAGTGCTCTGAATATCTTCCAGTTTTGTTGGTGATGCAATAGTATCTGGGATACTACTGTAGTAGTTTCTGCACAAGACAGAAGAGTAGCTCGAGCATTTAAAGAAACTTTGCTTAACAACAGTGACAACACCAAAACCAATTGTAACCGTTTTTAGGTGTTAGAGAACTCTTCGCACCCATATGTCTCAAAACAAATTGCAAAGGGCTTTGCAGAGGGAGAAAACTGAGGTGTGTTGTTCAGAGATGAACAGGATACCCTGAACAGAGTAGTGACAGCACTGAAATGGAAATCAGGTTTTTGTGACTGACCTACTCAATGGGAAGTATGTCTTAAAATAATTCAGGCTTGTGATGTGTTACTCGTTGGATTCTTTCTTTCCCAACCTGTGTTACCATGTTTGAATTGAGCATGTTATAATGCCTGAGAAAAGAGATTTCAGTTTAAGTTTTACATGAAAGAGGCCAGCTGAAGTAGAGAGTGACATTACTAAATGTTGGTTCCTACTGTATTTTAACCTGAATTAGTGGGAATCTTACTAACAGTCGGCTCTGCCTCCTCTGTAACTTTCCATGTGTTTCAGAAGGAGTTGAATTATCCTGCTACTTATCAAGAAGAAAAGAAGAGCAAAAGATCATTGGTTTAATGGACGTGTTTTGGATTTACAACTGGCATCCTAGAAGCAGAAATGTTCCTGTAGATGTAGAAATATCATGGTAACACTGCCCAGGTAATATTCAAGCCTTATTTTTTTCTGAGTGCAGGTTTTGATTGTAGTAGATGACACATGTTTTTAGAACAATGGTTGAATGCCTACTTAGTTCACACATGGCCCACAAAGATTTTGAAGGCTTGATGTACTCTATTAAGTAAATAACTATAAATAAAACAGACTTAAAAAATCTTTAAATGTGCATTATGCCATCAAACTATGCTGTTTGGAAAGAGCTGTGGTGTTTGGGAAAAATTAGACATGTTTTCAACAACTGTCCAAGTACATATTTACACATAGTTTATGGTGTACACAAAGCTATGTCCGTGGAAACTCTTGGGCCCCAGGAAGCTTTATTAATTATTCTTTGAATACAGTGTTTTCAGTCACTTAAACACTACAAATGGACAGGAGACAGCTAATCATGGGGAAACATGCTGATTTCAAGGGAACTTAAAACTTGCTTCTCCCAGAACCATCAGTGGAAAATGGCAAAATATAGATATGGGACGTATGGAATACACTGTGTGGGGAGGAAACAGAGATTTGTAGTTTATATAGGTACATTTTAGTGCCTGTTTGTTCAGCCAGGTGAATAAAGAGACTTTTCACTTGCTGAGAACTCTCCTGGTCAGGTCCAGCTGAACATGACCAGCACTGAGGCTCTTCCCACTGAAGGTGTTTTTCATTACTTGTGTGCCATCTATGACCTGCAGATATTTTGGTATTCTGGATTCCCCAGACACAGAATATTAGATGCTTTCAGTATCCTAATTCCTGTTCAGTTCATGAGGAGCATAGTCTGTGGGCTTCTGGCTTTGTTGTTTAACAGGGGTACAGTGTGATACTGGAAAGACAAAATTTCTTTAGATAAGAAAGTTCAGAGTAGGGACCTTACTTTCCTGCTTGCCTGTGATGTTATCAAACAATAATCCTTGTTAAGTAAGGATTAGTGTTCAGACATGATCAGGCTGGTGAAACATCTTTTTGGCTGCAGAGGAGACCTGGCAGAGTCTCCCTTTGCCTGCCTTTGGATCATTTTGTAGACCTTGTTCACACGGGCCACTTTACCTGTGAGTGGGGTGGGTGCATGGGATCATCAGCTTCTCCCACTACATCTTGGACTGAGGTCTCACCTGCATCTAAGAATAATGCCCTACCAAAGCATCTTTTAATTGTAAAGCTCTGGGACCAAGTTCTCCGACTCTGTATCAGCTGGAAGGTTGTTTTGGATTTTGCCAGGTTGTTTTATCACATGCTGGAGAGCGCCTGTCTTAAGCAGACTTGTCCTAAGCAATCCTCTTAATGTTCCTGTGAGAGGTGGTTATATTTTAAATACTGTAAGTCAATCTGTTGTCCACCTCTCATGGACAACTTGATCAGACCCCTTGTAGCAAAGTTAATAGAGTCTTGTAATACCTAAAAAGCCCCTTTACAAGCAGCACCGTTTACTTTTCAGTTGTACTGCTTATTTGCTAATTCCCATCTCCTCACAAAACTTTCTAGGTACTCTGATTTCTTTATCTGACTTGTTAGGAGTGAGCATGGCCCTTAAGGACTCCTTTATTTTTGGATAGTTGTCAATTTTACCAATTAAAAGAACGCCTTTGGATAGTTATCAGAAGCTGGAGCTGAAAACATGTTTGCGATTACTGATGACATAGCTGTTTCTATTTGCTGCTCTCTCTTTTAATTCCAAAAAGTGATATTTTTTTTGGCAGTAGATATGAGAAAATATGTCACTGTGTATAATTACAAAATGCTGTTCATTTCTATCTTGTAACCGTGGGGGGTTAGTTGGTACAATACATTTGGTTCATTCTTGGCTCACTCAACTGCATGACACACGTTTAAGTGTATTATTAATTGTCATGTTAATATTCATTACCATGTTAATTTCCATGGAATCATATAATTCTGCATGCCTCCAAATTGATGTTCAAGGGTATATGCAAGCATGAAAAAAACCACTGAATGATTTCCTAGGACACTGTAATAAACCTTAAATAAAATCATGTTCTGAACATTGTCCTCCAGGAAACCTGGGCTTTTTCAACAGGCTTTACCCCACCATGATACTTGCTACAAAAACAAGATTCATCCCTGGGAATGGGCTTTGTATAAAGCTGCTTTAAATGTTACTTGTGCTTTCAACCAGATTCAAAATACAAATCCACAGTGCTGGCTTTACTTTAATTTCCTAGGTTGCATCTGCCATCTCATCAGAGCAATCTGACTGTACAGTGCACTGAAGAAGCTGCATAATATTTCTAGTGGCTTGGATTTTTCACTTGATATATAGCAAATATATGGATAATGGCTCAATAAGTATCTGTGAATTTTTCAGTAGTGTTTTGCAAGAGAAAGTTCTACTAGAAACAGCAGCTTGGGAACTGCAAATTTGGGGGATAAGAGGTGAACCTCATTCTGAACAAAAATGTCTGTTGCCTGAGGATTTAAAAGAAAAGGATTGATACAAATATTTTGGGCTTAACATCGTGTTAGCACAGACCGTCTTACCTGAAGCCTGGTGAAATCAGTGGGAATTTTTGATTGTTTTTGAATATGAATCAGACTTCCAATGCATGTGTTTGTAAAGGAGAGAGGGCACATAGCACCTGAAATGCTCTATTTTTCCAGGAAATAGGCCCATCCAACTCAAACTTACCCATTTCTGAGAACACCTTTGGTCACAAGGCACTGCACCTGCTGCAGTTTGTAGATGGGTGGGTTCTTTTCTCTAATCCTGGTGAAATTTTAAGAGCTTGCAGATATGTTCATTATCCACTTTTACTTGTCTTAGAGAACATATAGGCTTAGGCAAGAGAGAGAAGTTGGCTTTAGCCTCTTGCCTTGGCTGGTGTTACTCTGGAGGAGGTGTAAGGGCAATGACATGAAACCAGGGTGGGGTCACAGCACTGAACATTTTATTGTAGTATGAGAATAGCTCCCTGCCAAAGTCCTTGTAGAGCAATGTATTTCAAGGTCATGTGTTTCACTCCACAATCATCTCAAAACATGCTTGTAAATAAATTGTATGGGCTTAGCTCTGCTGTCATGACACTTTCGCCTAAGTAAATGCCAAGGCTACTGTGGATAGAATTCCACTGACTAAGAAGGCTCACACCTGAGCAGCCTTACAGCTGCTCTTCTCAGCTGGGATTTAGTAGTCTTGGTTCTAGGTGGCAGCAAAGCCCTTCTCAAGCCCTCTGAGTCGTGTGGGGCACACCTGCCCTCGGAAATGAAGTGCAGAGATATCTGAGCTACTTGTGGACAGGCCAGCTCTGGAAGCAGAGCTGGAAAAGCAGGGCACTGCTGCACTGACAGGTCCCTGCTGCTGCTGGGACTGAGCTGCTGGCTCTGCAGGGCTGTGCAGATACAGCTGCTTCTCAGAGATAGCCTGTTTATTTGGGCAGGAGTTGCATGTTTTTCTGTGCTGCAGCTTCACTTCCTAGGGTAGGGCTCTGCTGCACCGTGGCTTTCTGTCTAGTGAGAGTATGAGCAGTTTCAGGCATAGAGGAACTTTTACCAAGCATTTGTGTATTGCCTGCAACAATTAGAGACACCAGCACACTGTTACATCATCATCATTATTATAATCAACAGGTTGTATTCAGAAGTCATGTCTTGTTTTAAAATACCAGACCTGTTTGAACACAGACATTTAATCTAAATTAATATATTGATAATATGTTAGGAAAGATGTTCTGAACTTTTTTTTAAGCAGAAATTGACATTTTATCTGAAAATAGTAATGGAAAGAAAATTGTATAGTCCAGCAATGTATATCATTTAGACCTGATGATAGAATAATTGTTTTCCATCAAGCAAACCAAAGAAGAATCCATAATAAAATTTTACAAGTTAGCTGCCATCAAGAATAAACTCAAGAGCACTATATGAAATGAATTGTGTGTTTTAACTGAATCTTCTCTCAGGACAATAACTCTAATGTAGAGCCAAGGTCTGAGGAGGTCACCTGCAGAAAACCCTCCTGGGGCATTTCAGAGGAGAAAGGAAATATTCTTCTCCCTGTCAGGTTCACTTCGTGTCCTAATATGTCTGAGGATGTGCATTGAAAACATAATACACAGCCACCATTTCGAGTTGGGGTTCAGATAACAAGGGTCATTAAGAAATCTCTAAGGATGACAAACTTAACCCTGTATGAACTTAAGGATCATATCCTGCTACTAATGCTAAGAGTAAGTCTGGTTGATTGTAATTGTGACTGAACTAAAATGTCATTTACCATTAGGATCAATTTCTCTTTTTTTTTTTAATAGCATTTCTCTAAAAATAAAAGTGTAAGATCATAACAGGCATCTATTGAGAACAGTCTGTAGTGATCTTTTCCAGTACGATGTGAGAGAACATCTGGATTTCCATATGTTTCCAAATATTTGCCATATCTCAGATTATGTTTGCAGGACCGGGATGTGGTAATTCAGTGCAGGATCCCAAATTAAAATACCTATTGAGAAACCGCAACATTTGTCATCACAGGGATCTAACTCCACAACTTCTGCTGAGGCCCTTCGGATAAACCAGGGTGTATCGCGACTCCTCCTGAGTTCAAAGGATGAGGTGTGCTCTCCAAAGAATGTGCAACACTCCTGCTCTGACTAACCACGGGTACTGCTGGGCTCTCAGCACACTGGCTGTTCCGGGGTGAGGTGCTCCAAAGGTGTTTTCAGGGATTCCCATGTTAGCTGTGTGGGAATGTTTGGATGTTGGCTCGTTAAGGGTGGTTGGGCACCGAACAAGCTCCTCGGGGCAGTGGTCATGGCACCAAGCTTGGCGGAGTTCAAGAAGTGTTTGGACAGCACTCTTGGGTGCATGGTGGAATTTTTGGGGTGTCCTGTGCAGGGCCAGAAGTTGTACTTGATGATCCTTATGGATCAGGATATTCTGTGGTCCTGTGTGCCGTAGACAGTGGAGAGAGTTTGAAGTTGCCCTGCCAGTGACAGTGCAAAAAATTCCTCACTGCTGGCACCATAAAAATAATTCCCTGAGCG